AATAAGCAGACGTGCTCTCGATTTTTATTTTGGTGTAAAAAAAATAAACTATCACGATAATAATTGAAACGCGACTCTAATCGCGCTTTATTTGCCTTTTAACCGGGGAGTGCAGACGGAGGAGACGAACGAGTTTGCGATTAAAAGGACGAGGGGAATCGATCGAGGGGTCAATCACAATCGCCACTCGAACGGTATAATAATCATGAGCACAGTGTACGCGTACCAATACATTGGTGTGCATGCGCGTGTATCGGTCGTACGTACCGACGACTGATCTCGAACGGCACAGACGGATGCAGACACACGCGGAGCGAAAAGAGTTATGCGGACCACACGGTCGGTGGCAAGACTTCGGTACACTACACCCGTACAGAACGTGCGTACGTTTATTGTGTGTGTGTGTGTGTGTGTGTAAACGTATAAAAGTACTTGTGTACTAGACGCGTACACCGGTACAAACGACCGCAACGCCAATAAACCATACCGAGTACCGCCGCCGCACGGTTCTCTCGTACACTACCAGGTCTATACCAGGTCTTCAATAATATATCCTAAAGATAGAAGAGGGTGTGGGTGGGTACCGGGAAAAAGCACGCAGCAACACGAAACCCGAACCTATCTCCGGCGCGACGACGGAGCGGTCGAGTTGCATTTTACGGTCACCATTACGGCTGTCCAATAAATGCGAAGTGGATAATATTGTAAGAAAACGTGAATATCGCGACGCAATATTGTGACGGTCACCGCGCGGTACACTTCGACGTATTATACGCGTTGCACTTTGATTCGGTAAAATACGACGTTTACAGGTGTGTAAGAGGAAAGTTACATGGAAAATATTTTCATTCAATGAGCGATAACGGCCTTTCGTTTTTACACGTGGAGATACACGTGGTAATTGGTACGAACAGCCAACGAAAAACGAGTAGGAATTGAACGGATACACAAATGGATTATGTTGAAAACATGCCAAGAAATTTATTTTCAACATGCTAAGTGGTATAAAAAATTTAAATAAATACCTTATAAAGAGATTATATTTTTAAATCGTGAATTTTTCTACCTAAAACGTTGATAAGAGAAAATGTTAACAAGCAAAAACACGGTCAATAAAACCGCATTGTCGCAATGAAAACTTTAAAACCGAACAAATTTCGAATCACGAGAATGATGCTCAACTAACGTAGAACTCGAATTTCACTTTAATGATGGATACGATCATAGCCAACATAGTGATTGGCTGTGCATTGCCATGTACGTGGGTCGTAATATTATGCATAGATATCATGAGTTCCTCAACATGTGTTATGGAATATTATAAACTCGACTGGCTCGCGCCGAACCTTGTAAATCACACGGTCATATTATTACGTATGATATTGTACGTACGAGTTCGCGGTTCGAATCGCGAACGAGTGTTCTTTTCGGGTAAGTCGGATGAAACAATTCCTTTAATTTATATGCAAGCACGAAAAAACGTTAGGGACAAGACGAGACATTATTATTTATACATACCTGCAACATGAAATAAAATAACATATAACATACGAAACGATCGGTCCAACATGTCGGTACGTACGCGTGTTTAATATACACGCACGATACCACGATACACACGATATTTACGACTCTTGTCCTTAACCTTTTTTTCTCTCTCTCTGTCTCCGTGTCTCTAAAACTATTTTTGTACACATATTACAATTATAATTTATGAACGTTTTTAATGTACAATATGTTATAACACGTGCCCTGAACGCGGACGATATTCGCGTGATTCGTACGTCGACAACGTTATAATACGGATCCGTACCGTCATCATCGGTATTATTTCGAGAGGTCCACCCAACGAATTTACTACGGACTTAAATAGAGCCATTACGCTGTACATCTGATGCTCGTACACTTTTTATTACATAATACACGCGCATAGTACTCTCGTGCAGCAGCAGTCAATCCTGCCGACAATCCTTTTCGTCACGTACTCGTATCGAACACAATATATTTCACTCCCGCGACGACAACTAGAACGACTGCAATCGCCTTGACGACCTTCGATTTTTGCCAACGACCGCGCATGTCTCCGGTACATTATAATCGGACGACGTGTTCTTTTCTCCGTTCGTATTTGGAAAACCGTTCCATTCGAGTCGCGTATACATCATTCGCGTATGGTGTATATATTTACATACACTTTGCCCATTGACCTATCTGCAATAACGCGTTCAGTATATTATTCGAATTCGATTATCGGCATCATGTCAAAACGGCCGAAATAAGATAAATTTTTGTACTGATCGGGGTTGGTTTTCAAACGTTTCGATCGAAACGCGCAGACATCCATAAAATATTTAAAACGTGTTTTTAATTTTTCCGAACAGGTTTTCTTGTTCGTTTAGTTTTAACGACGCTTTTTAGCACAGCGAAAAAACTAAGGAAGTTTCGTCCATTGCTTACTTGCATAAAATAAAGATTGTAACAAGAGCAAGAATTATTATTGCTTTAATAAACAAATAGCTCTTGCTAGTAGTGTTCGAGAAATTGCGAAAAATCGTAAAACTTTCTTAGATTCGCTTAGAAGTAATATGTTACTCGTTTCTAATAAAATACTGGTTGTATCGCAAGTACAACTACTTAGGGTTCTAATGTTGAATGAGAGTAATATATTTATTTAGTCGTAGTTTACATTTTATAATGTACACCTACATTGAGATGATTTCAGTGTACACGTATAATAGTGTACTAATATAATCTATAAATCATTTTTTTTTTTTTAATTTAAATTTAATTTTGTAGATATTAACGCCACGAGTATTGATCGATTGACGATAGTTATTAAATACCGCATGTGTTATATATCATTATAATGGTAAATGTTGAGTATATGATTCACCATACGAGTACATGTTAGACATTGTTTCTCGACAAAAAGGATAAGTATTCATTATCATATAAATAATTGTACACCAACATTATGTGGTCTCTCTTGTATGGGGTTTAGTGTCATTTGTACACATATAGATATTCGCCTATGACCGAATGCAATGGGATTTAATCCTATTCAAAATAGATGTTCAATTATAATTTTACCTTTTCGGGTATGATGCAACAGCACGAATCATTGACAAAATTCATTGCAACAGTGAAGCGGTATACATTATTTGCATACTAATCTCTACGATTTATCTTTATAAATATCAAATGTACATGCACTCGCACTAACGATAATAATGTAAAATGCATTTGTATCGACGCCAATGAAAGAAAAGAAAACTCGGATTTATAATGTTTAATATAGCACAGCGATTTATTTCAGGTCTTACGACCGTTAAGGTACATCGCACACTGCAGTAGTACGTCATACTTATGGGCTAGTTTAGTAGGGTACCTAAACGCGGCGTATAATCGTTTATCGGTCGGTCAACAAATAAAACGTGTTGTGCGCATTCGCCAACACTCGAATGTCAAAACTCTGTTCACCAAAACGACATGGCGGCCGGGTTATTGTAAATTGCAGCAATTAAACTGTATCGTATGTTTACGGGTACAAATACACACCCTGCAAGGTCTGTGTTTTAATTTTTTTATTTATCAATTAGTATCGAGACCGAATTTATCGCAAGTAGCCATATAAGTAATAATACGAACGAGAAATCAAATGTATTAACCCGTTTCCACAGTAGTTCGTCAATTAGACGCTATGCACACCCGTTAATTATATTCCTTCATTTCAACGTTTTCTACCGCGGAATCATTAGCCGTTTGGTGTACGCGTCTCTCGTGAAGCCTTAGCCATGCATATTAAATATTTATAATATAATATTATGAATGACGTAGTGACCGTAGTAATTTATATTATGTACGAAATTATATCACTTTTGATGAATTATCATGTTGTTGTACGTTAAAAAAAACCGGGTGGGTACCAACTACAGATTATTATATATAATATCGAGAATTATAGCCCATTAACAAATATGTAGATAAATTATAAATAGAATACGTTATGTATGACGTATTACGAAAATAATCGTAAAACGATCGCGCAATAACTGGTCGAATTATTGTGTTCAATTATTTTTTATTATAAACACGGTATTGAATAGGCCTGTGCATAATATATACGAGTAATTAGTATGTATATGCACGAATAACTGTTAAATGACACAAAGTATAAAAGGCACCACTTTTGTGCCGTACAAATGTTCAGTAAAATTATGTTAATCAGAAAATAACGATATTCACCAACGATCATCGAAGTTATTTACCAAATCCATTAGTAATTATCGTTATAAATTAAATATTTACGTTAATCTCCGATTTCGTTGGCAACTAAAAATTTTTCACATCTAAAATTGTTAAATTCTATCTTGTTGTGTAACAATATTGCACTAATCCAAAATAATATTTATTAAAATATGATATATGAGCATTTTTTTTTCTAAACTGAAAACAGTCATTGGTTGTGACATAAAAATTATAAGTATTAATAAAGCTGAGGTAAAAAAAAAAAGAAACATTTGTACAGAAAATGTTTTACAATTATGATATTTGACTGTATACATATCACATATTGAACTATAATTAGTCATAACACCAGTATACGTATCATTATAATATGTGCTGTATCTCAGTATCTGTCCCAGATAAAGTTTTATTGGGTTATTAATTACTTTTTAAACTCATGAATGAAGATATTATAATTAATTAGTGATTGAACTAAAAGTATTAAAAACCCAGTGATTTTATTAAAGTTATTCGTATTCAAAATATACCTTGTTATTATCAGTAGGTTATGCAATTGTTGACGTGATCCGTTCAAAAAATTACGATAACCCTAACATTTGTATGAAAATAACGTTAATTATCGGTGAATATCGTCATTTTCAGCTACGGTTATTCACCTTAACATATACATTTACACAAATACACAAACACTCATATACAAATTAATTATAATTATAACAATAATAATAATAATATAATATGTAATTACTTACCATAAGTCTGGTGCTTTGTTGAGTCGTATTTGGCAAACTATAACCTAGAACGAAAATAACATAAATTAATAAGTAAAACAATAATTATTTCATAGACGGTTTTCAACAAACGTGCTATCGATGAATTATAATTATTTGAAAAGCTTTTTATATTATTATATAAGTTCTGTAATGTTTTACTCAATAATAGTGATGCAAATTTAATTCTAACGAATAACCGGTGTTATATTAGTATAACACGAGCTAGTTGGATATTATGACTTAAATTAATTGTTTTTTCATATCGTTTGATTAATTTCGAACATGACTAATAATTTCATACGACAGTTACTTGATAGTGTGCCATCACACGATACTCGTGCGATTCAATTATTAATATAATATATAGTTGTATATTTTCCTGAGGAGAAAATTAAACGAGAAAATCGGTCGGACACATTGAGTGCATATTTGTATTCGTAATAATTATATGTTATCACGCTAAGAAATACCTAAAGTAATTAAAACGATCCGTGTAAAGTTTTTATTTATGTATTTTTTTATTATTTTGTGTTAAATCCTCATTTATATTATGATCTATGTTTTTAATGAAACTATCTCGTGTTTTTCCTCGGACCTCGTTCATGCGAATGCTCGAGCAATATTTTATTTGCTACAGATGTACAATGATAATTGTCATTAAATACATTTAGTATAATTTATGACTGATAACATTATTTATCACAATTGAGTGCTTTAGATTTTGTTGTCAAAACATATTTATGATTATTTGATATATTAGTTTACGATAAAATACAATTAATTTTAAATAGTATATAAATATAAATATTAAATTTTAACTGTACACAGTTATAGTCACTGTTTCAGTTTATCATTGTCTTATATCTGTTTATAAAAATATTTATTGGAGATTTTAATAAAGATTTTATAAGATTTTATAAGATTTAATAAAGATTTTTATAATAAAGTAATAAATGTATATTCTGTCTGTAGTTCAAACTTAAAGCACACTTTGCTTTATCTATTGCCTAATTTTTTTCTCGTCACAATTTGTTTTAATTAAAAATAAATAACAGGCATAAATTATACTCGATGTAAACACATGCCAAATCTATATTAGATACTCGTATATAGTTTGTTCTGTGACAAATCAAGTTTGCAACTGTGAGTTTAATAAATTGGATAAGTCGTTAAAAATAGTATCTAAATAATTAAGTGGATGAAATTTATTCGTTTAAAACATATTTGTAATACCCGCCATTTCGGTTGATAAATAACATAGTGAAAATGTAGTTATCGTATAACTCATGTGCAATAATACTATACGAATATTGTATTAATTTATCATTCCCATAGTTAGTCGTCTATCATATGCACGTGAGACATTATTGATCGTGAATCTTGGTGGAAAAAGCCCACTTTTTCGCTTATCTTTCCATGCAGACTACGGTCTTGAAACGGAAAACTTAATACAGGCAAACAGAAAGAAAAACAATTAAAAATTGTGAAAAAAAACAACTTGACCTGAAAACGTTTAACGTGTGCTTAATTTATTTAAAACGCATTTATAACAGACGCACACACTTCGTGGCGTTTAATTAATTATAATTACGACTTAGACCGACCGACACCGATAAGATATAAATACATGCCGCCGTCGTGTGTTTAATATTATAATATAATTGCGGTAGGTACGCGTTGTGTGCACGGACATTTATGCACTTCCTTACGGTTTGTGTGTGTGTGTGTGTGTGTGTGCGCGTGCGTGAGCCGTTAAGAAGTTTAATGGCGCTTAAAACTATCCGTGGGCCGAAGTTTGTCGAGATCTCATTCTACCGCCTCCTAGTTCCACGGATAAAATACGCATCACGCTACGTCGACACGGCTCCTCGCAAGAGCCGATTTATAATTGATCGGCCGGCGGTCGAGGTAATTATTATTGTTGTTGTGCGCGTGGCGATTGAACGCGTCTCGAACCCGTTTCGTAGACGGTTTTATTTTAAATGCGGTTCGTACATATTTTATAAGCTCACGTGAGTGGACGTGCATTTAATATTATACGTTCGACTAAATATACATATATATATATATATATATATATACGGGTAAACGGTTCTATAACGAAATTTTTTTTTTTTTCAAAAACAGGTACATTTTTAACCGTCGAAACGGTTATAATTTAAAAAGTTTATAATATTAATTATGAAATGGAGAAATAGCTAACTAAAAATCGCACCATCTCAAACACCAAACCCTCTTCAAATACGTCCATGTAATGTTCTCCGTTGACATGGTACGTTTAGAATGGCACAGAACGTGTTATTAGTGCGAATTAGTGATGGCATATATCGCGATTTATAGAAACGTATTTACGTCGTCTGCCGGTGCACGATTGATTTTCATACTGTACATTATTATTATAGGCAGAAAGAGTTTACATAGAACGCACTAGTCGAGCTTAGATAATTTATGCTTGGTTTATTTAGATCTACAATTATATAATTATTTTTAAAATACAGCATAAGGTATAAATAAATATACGAAATCAATCGAGGTAATTGATACATACGACGCTTTTCTAAACACACAGTTTTTACTTACAATTTTAAAACCAGTAAAATAATTGAAACGATATGCTAATCGCGATTGCTCTCAGTTTTTCTTCTGCACGTGCCATATAACCACCTAACCATATATAGTTAATCCCATAGGCGTGTATTTAAGTGACTTGGAGAATTTATTAAATTTTATGTTGTGTAGTTCTATATATGATATTCAAAATCCAATGAAATTGGTTAAATTAGAAGGTTAAATATAATTGAAAATGTGAAGCGAATACAAAAATGATGTATTTGGCAATTCGGATTTTTTTTCAAACAATTTTAGTATTTGATGGCAATAGCATTTCATTTACCGTCTTAATATTTTTATTTTAAATATATATACAATAGTCACTCGATAATTTAAAAAACTCCATAAATTGAACTAAACGCTTAGTCACCTGAGAAAACCTCTATAATTAGAATAAAATACATGTATTCCAATCCCCTCGATAATTCGAAATATCTGTTGGTGGGACTCACTCTATAATTCGAATTTGCTTTAACGCAGTTATACGTATGTTCATATGTATAAATTATATTCATATGTACATCTATTTGACGTACTCGCAATGAAATGAATAAGGACGGCAATTAAATATTATCGTTGTTTGTAAATTTTATCGTACCTTACCTACCTAATCTAGACTTTAATCGTATCATTTTACCATTTTTATGTCAGAATTTCGAACATTTTTCGAGCATTCTGAAATGTACGAAAAAGGATACGATACAATTTCCAATGCTATCAGTAAGTTAGATAACGCTATGGACCAGATTGTGGCCAACAATTTAACACAAAAAAAAAAAAAGAACAGATTTCTTGAAAATGTAAAATATAATAATATAATAAATAAATTTCAATTAATAAATGTAATATATGCATATCATTTTTCACCTCTCTTTAATTCGAATTATTTTTTTTCCCTGGATTATTCCAACACTCAGTAAATCGAAAACCTCTATAAATCGAATTTTTAGCTTAGTCCCCTGAATTTCAAATTATCAAGTGACTATTGTACTCTTTTTTTATTTCACCAAAAAAAACTTATTGGATTTGCTTACTAGGCAAATTTGCTTCTCGGAAACTTGTTTGGTTAGTCTCTTTATATAATAAACCCACGATACAAATGATTATTTTTACCAAATGCAGTTGCAAGATATAAAAGTACACGAGGAAAAATTTCGTCCTGTTTTCGGTGTAAACGATAAATGTTAAAGTCATGATCTAAATTTACTATTGTCCCACGTGAAATGGTTAATCACGAGCTGTCGCTGAATAAATAAATATATGGTAAGCAGAACGGAATGAAGTTTTAAAGTAGATATCGAAAATATTGCAGGTCACGTTTGAATGTGGACGTGTACGTGTATATAGTGAAAAAAAGTTGCACCGTAAAATTTCAATGAGATTTAACAACTGATAATTTATGTTATAAAAATATAAGAGAAAAGTAGTAATCAAAATAATTAATTCCGAAAAGAGTAGTAAGCATTTGGTTGATCATATTCTTTGTAAAATTAATAATTTTAATTTACAATCAACCAATTTATTCGGTTATAAAATATGATTTTACTTTTCCGATTTCTTATACGCATGAGATTTTACTAATTTGTGATTTGAAAAATATCTAACATTTTAATTTTGAATTCATTATACGTGTTTATTTGTTAAGTCTAATATAAATATAACACTTAATATATGATTAAAATAACAACAGTATCCGATGTAGACAGAAAAATAAAAAACTTTATGTTTACAGCTATATAAATTACTTAGAAAAATATTTTCATGCTTCATTTTCAAACATGTTTATACACGGTTGTTTTCACGAGCAAATAATATTTTATTTAATACTGAGATGAAATTATAATGATTAAAAACACAATTTTTAGTTTTAAAATATTATACTATGACAACTTGAATAAAAATATTTCTGGACTTTTTAAAATATTTAATGAGCCATTTTTACATTTAATAATATCTTTTATTGGTATTCTGATTAAGATACTCATTATGCAATTTATCTCAAAAAAGTGTACAAGTTAAAATAAAAATTAATATATCATATATAATTTTAGTATTTTATTATATTTTATAATTCTCTACATATAAATTAGTTCTAAAAAAACCAATAAACCGGCAGAATACGCATCTAAATACAAATTGAATAAAAAATATTTAATTTAAAAATAAAAATTTGACTTATTTTTATATGTAACTTTAACATCAATTATAATTAATTAATAACACGTTAAATATGTCCAGTGCCTATCATTAATGAGTTACTGCCATCGATTTTGAAATAATTCAATAATATTTGTCACACTTAAATTAAATAATTGAACTAGATTCAAAAAAAATGTAAGTGTGCTATTAATGAGCATGTAAAACGTTCAGTTATAATGTAACTAATTATGTTTACACATAACATAATAACTGTCGTTTAATGTTAGATTGATTTATGGTGATTTATTATTCTATGAAAATATATGAGAGGAACGTATCACCACAAATCTCACTTGTCTTTTAAGAAATTTTAATTTTAAGAAATTACCTGCAGTAAATAATTTCAAATTCTTAAGAGTTTTATGGTTTCCAAATTTAGCTAAATCTATTTTTACGAAAAACTAACAGAACAATCTTTACATTATCATTATTACAATGGATAAAGTTAAAGGCTCTGGTAATAATATACCAAAAATTAAAAGCATATATTTATATAATATAATTAAGTTATTGTAAGCTAATGAAACAGTAATTTACCTATTAATATAAACTTTCAATGAGTTTGGTTAATTAAGTTTGTCAAAAGATACCGATTAAGTGATAATTATGTTTAAAATACTATTTTAATTTTTACATTGTCTTTATTATATAATCAATTCTATAATTAATGCTTTAAAATAATATTTTCAAACATTTATATTTTGCATTTTTTTAAGTGTATAATAAATGTTTCTATTATATAATAACTGAATTAAGTTTTCGTATTACTACATAATTAAAAATTGATACTGTATTGATATTAAGTTAGTTATTGAGAAAAATTATAAACGTTAACAGCTAAAAAAAAATAATGAACATATTGATTAAAATTGCATTTATTTATTATGTAAATTTTTGGTTTAGCCATAAAAAATATATGTTATTCGTTATTGGTTTCAATTTTACGTATTTAAGGATTAGTTAATAAAAGTTTTAGGGGTTTATATTATTGAAGTATAGGTATGAGATCTCATAAGGTATTTTTTTAAAAATTATAACGGCTTCATATCTAAATAATTTAAAGCGATACAAAGTGTTAGGGTATATAAAACAAACTATAGAACTTTTAATTTTGAAAGTTGTATACGTTTTCATAAATTCAATTTATTTTTTAAAATAAGAATACTGAAAATCATATACAAGTATTTGTTACTTATATTTAATTATGTGTATATTATAATATTATATAATTTGATAATTTAAGTTTTTTGGCTGCACTCATTAATATAGTTATTTTAGAGTTATACGATTAAATTTAAATGTTTGAATTATTTTAGAAAACAAGCGAATTTTTAATATTTTATGGTTTATAGGTATAGGATTTATATTTCTTTTTTACAAAATAGAAAATTTTACTAAACAATATTGATGTTTGAAATTCGAATTCGAACTTCATACGCATAAAAACTGATTTATAGCAATAGAAGTATTGATTTAAATACAGCATGCAAATTAAAAGTGTGAGGATTTACACCATGGGAAATATTCTAAACTATGCATTTTTTGCATAATGGATTTCTGGATTAAAATCAACGGTAAATAATAAAAGATAGTATCGCGAAATTTTTAAATTGTTTACGTGGACATTATACATTGAGTGCTAATTGTATCGGTCTAGGGTGTTGGCGCGAGTAAACTTAATTTTACACTTTTGTTTAAAAAAAATGAATTATCTGTGTAGTAATAGAACGGAATAGAATAAAAATCGGTCAACGAATCATATTCGACTGCGTTCGAAACGTGTCACGATGGGCGATCATCGGAACGGGTAGAACGTCGAGAAATAAAAAAAAAAAAATGATAATACTCACGACGACGACCAAGCGAAAACGTCGGGTGCCACGACGTATCTTTTGATCGGCTGCAGACGCACACGCGGACGGGGACTTGAACGCGCGCTACGCGAATGCCGGGGAAAATCGGAACGCGACGGAGACGAGTGGGAAAACGGTCGCAGTCGGATCCGTGCCGTTACGCGGTGTGTTGTACCGGAAAACGTTTGGCGCGCGCTCGCGGTCCGAGCGAAAGAACGGGAAAAACGTTAAACGCGTTTTAAATATGGCGAGGAAAAAAAAAACCGTCATCGACGACCAGCGGCTACCGAACGACCGCGTGACCGTTGCCCCGACGACCGGGGAAGACGCGCGTGCACTTAACGCGACCGCTGCCGCGGCGTATGTGCGCGGGCCGCGAGCTCACCCGTCGGTATATATAGCGCGCGCGGTGTCGACGCGGACCGAACCGATGCAGTCCTTCCTACCGCGGAGTGCAGCGGCGCGCGCGCGTACCTGCGCCGAGAAGAGAGGGAGAGAGCATCCCGTGCGCGCACCGTTCCCCGCAAAAGAGCGCGCGTGTGGTGTACGTGAACCGCTACGCGCGTCAGACGGGATGCGGTGGTAGGGCAGCAGCGCTTCACGGGCGGGGGTCTAACGTGGCGAACGTTATCGCGCGCGGGAGAAGAAAAACCGCTGCGAACAGAAGAAATCCTACCGGGCGCCCTGTAATGGGTAGCCGGTTCCGTCTGTTCGCAGTCGATTAGACATACCACCACGTTATTATTTTTGTTGTTATCGCTCTGTACAGTTTAAAATACATGTAATGTTTTTAAGTACCAACAATTTTACCGTAGACACCTATTCGTAGTGCTATTACATTTGTATCGTCGTCTTTGAACGAGGTCCGTTTACACGTTCGTTTTTTAATTAAAAACGGATAGCCCGTGAATTTAATTGGCGATTCTTCACGTTCGAGCGAAAACCTGTGCTTACAATTTTCTCCTGTTAATGTATTCTATCGTTAGTACTTCATATTTTTTAAATGATTTCAACTGTTGTTTACAAATATACACACATTTTTTATTAATAACCTTCATATTTTATTCATTTGGTTACAAAAAAACCAAAATCTAATCTCAATAAATTTGTTCAGAATAATTTAAAATCGTTTGTTTTCATTACAATGGAGGTTTTATTAACTGTTGATGATTTTTCTAAAACTTTTTCGAGAAACATAACATATTTAGAGTCGTCTGTTTCAATAAAAATAATTAACAAATGATTTGAACCGTTTAAAAAATCTTAGTTTATATAATTTGAGGACTACAAGAAGTATACTTATATATTAATAATGGAATATCTCATTCACATTATTTAATCTTCACTAGTTCATAAACTACAAAATTAAACAAACATTGGAAATATTTTATATATGTGGTTTTAAAGATAATACGGACTATACAATTTTACTGTCAAAATAATTTAAGGTAATTTTCAAAATAAGTATATATTTAACAGTTCGTTGATGTTTAGAACTTCGAAACATGAACCAATCACTTAACATGTGGACACGAAAAATCTCTAATTTAAATTTATAGATTTAATTTGATAATAATAAATCTATATATATATTATTTATATATTTTGAAAATACATTTTGGGTGATGACAATATAATGATAACATGGTTCTAATCTACTCGACTGCGAATGTACAAACCCGTGTGCTTCACATGGTACGTATACACGCGACGGCATTGCGCGCATATAGTTTTCCTTTTATTAATTATACGGAAAAAACATCCCTTTAGACCAAACATCGATTGTACAATTTACGATAAACGTTAAAATTAAAAGCTAGACAGTGGTTTGCAGGTGTAGAAGACACGAAGGGTCAACGTTGGCATTTGACATCATATCGTGTGGTTCTCGATGGATTCCTGTGAATATGCGTTTTACGTGCATTCATTTTACGGTCCACTGCTGCAGATCACGTACTGGTCGGCGTGCGATTCTCCACGTGTTAAAAGTAACTGTTGGCTAAAGATTTGTGCACACATCGAAGCTGTACGGCTCATAGCGTGATGAAACTTTCGGGTACGACGGATATGATTCACTGGAAAAATCCGTGTTCGAATCGACTTTGATCATATCCGTCGGCATAAATATTGTACCGAAATCGTATAAATACTTTTCACCGGATTCTGAATTCTCTATAATAACACATGACTTGTAAGACGGAAGTAGGAGCAAGATATTCGATATCAATGTTTCGATGACCGTCAATGAAACAAAACATCAGCAGTATCGATCATAAGCCGTCATAAGAAAAAAAATTCCAAAACCTTATTGTGTAACTAAAAGAAATAACTTCTAATTAAACTAATGTAGTCTGATTGTTATAAAAATTATTGTACTTTTGAAATAATAACGTATCTTATCGTGTTAAGAACTGATCATTAACCTTGATTCGTTCACAATTGTTGTGGATATATCCACAAGCGTGCGCAAGGATTAGTCAGGGTAGTGCAACAAGTAAAAAATAGTACAACTGAGAACTTTTAATTTTAACCCGAAAGCAAGTATGATCAAAAATATGCAGAGTAAGCGCTTGACTACTCTGTGAACCTTTTCTCCCTCGTTAAAATATTCAATGTTATCACTAATAATAAATAACCATATTATGTTCAACCATTTCGGATCGTTCGTAAAAGTTAAATACATGTATAAGAATATTGGAAAAATTAATTAAAAAATTAATATAATTATTAAGTTAAATAAAGTAACCCCATCCAAATTTGTTGTTAATATTAAATGTTAATGTGTTATGTATGACTACCCTGCCAGTAATGTTTGCGCACGCTTATGGATGTATCCACATTCCAGGATATACGAATCATAATAACATAATTATATTAAAAATAATATATAATACAGGATAAATTTTTATTACTATCACCTACCAGAGACTTAAAAAATGGGTAAAGACCGAATTTTGAAATGATCACCAAATTAATAGATATCCGAGATTCACGTGAATAGTTAGCAGTGTTGAGAATAGATAATGCAACATTTATCTAGATAAAGATGAAAGGTAATATGTCCAAATTTATCTAGATAAAGATAAAAGATAATTTCATTTTTATCTAGATAAAAAAAAAGATATTTTCAAAAAATGTTATTTGTTGGTCAATATTTCATATTTGTAATATCTATGAAGACCTAATTATAATCATTATTATCAATAGGTACCTAAGTGTTGAATGTTTATTGTAGTAATATAGTAATATACCATTAAGCAGTATTTATATATAAAGTACAGTATTTAATGATAATTAATCACTAAAATGTGTCACACAAAAAAAAAAAAAACAATGAAAATTGCTTAGTATCAGGATGAATACAGAATACATAAGATATTATTTTAAGTTAACAATATTGTTTTCCATATAATCTTAATTTGATGATTTTCATTATTCTATAAGTAGTTACGACTTTACGGGTTCCAAGAGTGAAGTATTGACTATTCAGTGTATGAGTTATGTGTGTATACTAAAATCAAATATATATATATAATAATAATAATAAATATATTTAGAACTTCCATGGAAAAATAAGAAATTAAGTTTAAAAATTCCAAAGATATTTTTCTCACATGAAAATACAAACAAAATGTCATACCAAGAAATAATAATTACTTATTAATAATACACAAATTATAATTATGAATACAAAATCTATATATATATATATATATATATATATATATATATATATATATATAAAAGTCGGGTTAGTTACAGAATTTATAATTCAAGAATGGCTGGACCGATTTTGATGATCTCTGATTTATTAGATTCGTCTCCATACAAGAATAAAAATAACTCTTGACGAGAATTCAGACAATTATCTAGATAAGTAAACATTTTATCTTAGATAAGTAATTAGATAACTTAGCGTTATTTATCTAGATAAGATAAAAGATGACAAAAATCTATCTAAATAAATTTATCTAGATAAGTCGCAACACTGATAGTTAGGTACGGTTTGAAAAATAAATCAATACAATGCGGCAGCAGAAAGTCAACAATAATTATTTCTGTAATCCTTAAATTACTATTACATTAGTATAACGTTATAAATATGTATAAAAGTATTTCTACCTAGGAACTATTATTTATTAATATTCAAGGTACCTGTTTTTATTTTTATAAAACTGATTTAAAAATTATGTTATATTATACAAATATTTCACTGGACCGGTTTTTAGATAAAAAATAGTATATTTAAAATTTCATCTTAGATAATTATTATTAATATGTAATTATCAGCGTTTTGTTATCGATCGTAAAAACGTGTCAACAATGAATCTAAAATTCTACTTAAGACTATAGTATACGTTGGGTGGATAAATAAATATATGATAAAATGTAAATATTAAATTAAATGTAAATGGAGCGTTATTATTAATGTAGAAAAAATCGGAAAAGTAGCCGAGTATTATAATTATTTTTCAATAACCGTAAAACGTTCACGGTGAACGTTTATATACCAGTGTCGAACAAAAACTGAAGTGAATTATTATATTCAAATAGCGTTGTTTTCGAACAAAACGTAGGCGAGGTAGTTATTATCATTATAAACTGAAGTGCGTATTATATACAAATCCAAAGTTATTATCCAAATTTAATTGAGACTTATGTTATGGATGATTTTCAAAAAAAAAAATAAATAATAAAATAATCTACGGTTATTATCGGATATATTTTTCTTTTGTATATAAATAAAAAAATGTCCCAAAAATAAGCAGATGCTGTCATTTATCGATGAAAGTAATTACTGTCCAATGAGTAATATTTGAACGAGAATCAATTTAAATAATAATTTAAATTATAGCAGTTTATCATAAACCAATGATCTACGTGAAATACAGACATTTCCACGATCAATTTTCGAGTGTAAATATTGCTCATGGCAGAACGTATTTTAAAAATTATATTAATTAATATTTTAGTGCAATATCAGTTGTTATCGCGGTCTGAGATATTATACTGTATATAATTTTTGTACATTCCCGTAAACCATAATAATTAAAACGGTAAATTGTAAACCTATTTTCCATGTGAAAAAAAGCATAGACTTCTCTGTAGTTTTAATTTAGAACATTTGCGAAAATACAGTTTATGTAGTTTATGTTTATCTCGTATATATATTACATAAATACAAAATATATATTATATATAATAGATCCAGGCCTAAAAAAAATTAACTAATATTAATAGTAAAAGGCTTTGTAATAAATTATTGTCTTTGACGAATGTATAAATGTAATAGTTGTTGATTAGCATATTTGGTCAAATCTAATATATATTTAAATTTGTATTTGCTTGAA